CCCGGGGCTACGGTTGGATGTACTGTAGCTGGTCAAAGCTTGTGTGGAGGCAGTGGATTACAGGATTTGAATAACCCGATAGCTGTTCACCTCGACCAACAAGGCAACATGTTCGTCTTGGATTCGACGCACTATTCGGATGTTATGCGGTCCACTGCAGAGAGTGGAGACATTCTTGCGATTTCTCAAAGGAAGCAAACAGTCTCATATGTAAATATTGTGAAAGTTAAGATATAAAACTAATGACTAGTAGTCGCTATTAAACATGGCTCACTCAGTAGTTAAGGACAGTTGCTAATGAATCGTCCTTCTAAGCAATTCTATGTGCACTTGATAAATGAATGGTGCCTAGTAACTATCGCGTTATTAAGTATCCACCTGGCGCGAAGAGTGGTACTAGTGTGGCTGGCAATGGTCAGCTGCTAAATGGATTCAACGCAGCCATCGGCTTTTATGTTGATGCGTGTGATACCCTGTACATTGGTGCTACAAGAGGTGTCATCAAATTTCCTCCTGGTTCGAATGGCACTGGTATCCCAGTTTTGCAAGTCGGTTACACAGGTGGCATAACAGTGGGTACAGACGGTAGCATTTATGCTGCATTGCGAGGCGATAATTTAGTCCAAAAATATGCATTGGACTCATCGTCATCAATAGTAACAAGTAAGTGAACTGAGTTTATGTCATTTGTGGGGACCTCTCACACATTCACATTTATCCCGCATATTTGAGGTCTGTACAGCTTCATTTATTCATCCAACGACTTCTTTGGAGAAAGAATTCGACTGAAAGGCCGATTGCCTGAAAGCCATGTCTTAAGTCGATCTCATAAAACGATCTCTCTTGAAAATGACTTTTGACATAGCAAAACATCCTTTCTGTTGCAGTGGCTGTGCAACGCATCACACTGGAGCTTTCGCTCGAGTTGAATGAAATCTTTCGTTTCAGGCGTGTGCTACAATACCTCTGGACCCAATAGTCTGTTGTTATACTTCCCATTAAATTATAATACCAATGGTCAAGGAATAGCAGTTCCAGTTTCATTACTAGTTGGTACCCTAACATACACCAACGGCATTATCGATGGAGCAGGTATCTTCGACGGAAAATCGGCTTTGTCAATACTCGATTCTCTGCTACTTCGTCCAAAGCAATTCACCATCTGTGCATTTATCAAGCCAACTGTGGCAAATCAAAATGGGCGAATTTTAGAAAAGGGTTCAAGTAATTCGTTCTGGCTTCGGCTAACTAATGGTAAGGGAGAAGTTGGATATAGTGTTGCTGCTGCGGGATCAGATCGTTATTACAACGAAGCTTTCAGTAGTAGCACCATACCGATCAACGTATGGACGTGTTTATGCGGCGTCTTCGACGGTCAGACGTTGAAAATTTACGTTAATGGCGTCTTGAGTGGATCAAAAGATACCAAATCTGGAACTGTTCCCGATTTCAGCATTCAACCGGTTGTCATTGGTGGTTTATACTCCGGCAATGGATATTTCACTGGTTCTATAGAACAAGTGAGATTGTACAGTCTGGCTCTATGTGCAAGTGCACTACCATGCAGCACATCTCAACAATCATCAACGGCAGCACCACGTGAGATATTCAAAGTTGAACGGTTTTGTTTACCTCGACTGAAATATCGGGTACATCGGTATTGCCGTTTGTAGTTGAGACAATAGGCTCTAGGAGAGTGTCTGAAGCCAACTTTCTCTTCGGTCATTGCTTTGAAATAGCGTTGTTTAAATCATAACAGGCCCCTGACTTGGGCATTACATCTACTTGGTGACGTAGCAAAGAAAAGAAAGACTTGCAGTTTGGAGTTTCTTCTCCACACATTATCTGACATCCATGCTTTTCTATTTCAGCACCGGCAATGTGTACCGTATCACAGACAGGTAAGACTACACATGATGATGGTATATTCTTTGATCAGTCGCTATCACGACAAAGGTGTTTTTCTTAATGAGTGTCTGTTATGATTGTTTACTACTCATTCAATCAACTCTGGATACAAACTCTTCAGCACTCTACTTTAAGGAAAGTTAACCTGCTGAAAACATTATCTCACCTCAAATCTGTGACACTAGTTATGTGCACTTGGTGTCATTTCAATAATCTGGTTTCATTCACCCTTCTGTTTCATCTATATCTGCCTGTTTTAGCTGCTTCTACATGTATATCATCGTCAGTGTGTAATGGTAATTGGAATGACAAAACACCTGACACCGTTGCCACCAGTCTCAACAATGTGTATGAGGTAATGACGGATTCTTCGGGCAATACCTATGTTGTCAACGCAAATAGCGGAAACGTGCAGAAGTTTGTATCAGGCAAGCCTTCTTCGCCTACAGTGGTTGCCTCGGGTTTGTACTATCCGTGGGGTGCCTCCGTTACACAGAGTGGTGTAGTCTTCGTCGCGGACACATTCAATCATCAAGTGAAAAGGTATGATGTGGGTGCAAATGCTGCAACGGGTGGCGTCGTGGTGGCTGGTGGACATGGTCCTGGAACAGCTCAAAATCAATTGAATCAGCCGCGAGGAATATTCGTTGACTGTTCGAATAACATTTACATAGCAGATAGTGTACATTCGCGTTCAACAACTACCTCAGCACTACATTGCCCATCTATCGTTGTGAGCAATTATTCGTACAATATGTGAATTTCATGCAAACAATCGAATACAGAGATGGGCACCTGGGGCCACAGTGGGATGTACGGTGGCTGGTAACGCGAATGGACAAGCTGGCAAAGGACTAAGTCAACTCAATTATCCAATAGAAGTACAAGTCGACAAACAAGGTAACCTGTTTGTGTTGGATCAAGGTAACTATCGTGTTCTCAAGTTCACGCCTGGTTCATCGGTTGGCGTTAGTGTGGCTGGTAATGGTAACAAGGCAAATGGATTCGATACAGCAATTGGTTTTTATGTTGATTCATGTGATACCGTGTACATTGGCGCTGCGAAAGGGGTCATAAAATTTCCTGCTGGTTCGAATGGTACTGGTATCCCAGTTCTCCAAGTCGGCTTCACAGGTGGTATAACAACTGATAAAAGCGGTAACTTATATGTTGGAAGTAGGGGCGGAAATGCAGTTAGAAAATACACATTGATAAAAGCGTCAGCACAAACAACAGTGCAACCAGTGACTACAAGTAAGGCACTTTCTCGATATATATATATATATATATATAGGGTGGATCTATTGCCACTGCAGAAGTGTCAATAAGAACACAATCGTACACAACTATAGTTGTATTCGATGGACTATGCTATGAGAAAAGAACAAGAAAATAAAACTGTCACCATCGGTAACAACAGTCTTTTTATCAGCCAAATTTCGAGCGAATTCTATATTTTAGCCGACAGAAAGCCCACGGTAACCATTTTCTCATTTGGACTGAAAGGACCGAGTGGCTTGTCCACGTAACGGTACACTTCGCTGATCAAGTTTTTGAAAAAGCTTTTTCGATATCGAAAGTTTTGAACACATGATTAGATGCAGTTTTTTATTCTAAGAACCCGTTTGAAAGTCGTTTTTCAAAAAAGTTCATTTTTCATCCCCAAAACCCGGTTTTGAACTTTTCGGAAACCGAATTTTAATGTTTTAACCAAAAACATTTTTTAAAATAAATTTCTAAAAATGTGCTTTTGTAGAGAGTTGAATTCTCTACAAAATGGCGTATTTGTTTTTGAGTTTACTTGCTATGTACAATTTGTACATAGTTGTACAGCTGCCGACTTACTGTCCAGTTTTTGAGCTCTTATTTTGATACAGGAACTTGATTTTTGCGCAGGTGATCCGATGTACAAAGTACACCGGAAGTTGTGAAAATCAAAACTTTACTATTGTGTTAAATGCCTCAAATATGCTTCATAAAAAAGTGCGTAACGCTGTGACACTTATATTTTGTGTTTTTCAGGCAAATTTAATAACCTGGGTGAAACATTTTTTTACTATTAGAAAGCCCATGAGCTGCTCTACAAGGTCGGTTCAAGGAATATTCCGTTTGGAAAATCACTTTCGCAGCAAACAAGGATTTTCGCAGCAGCACTCTTAAAAAAGGGTCTTTTTTTGTAACACCGTGACGCAACACTAAAATCCTTCTCAAAGCCCAATGCAACATCCAAAAAACTTCGTTTTCATAGCATAAGTAGAGCATGATGAACTGCGTCGATTGGCGTTTGAACGAACTTTCTAGCTACTTTGGTTTTCGAGATAATCGAAGTTTAGTGCGTGAGAAACGTAACGCCGTGACGTTTGGACAAGCCGCGAGAGCGTCTAACAAATTTCGGCCTTTTTCTGCCTAAAAAGTGATTTTTAAGAAAAACAGACGGCTTTTTGGCAAAATCGGTTGTCCGGCAAGTTGATAGCCAGTTTAGCTCCAAGCAATAAAATAGAATTATGGTATATATTTATTTCTTCAGAAACAAACAATTTCGATATAGTATTTTGTGTTGATGGCATTAGTGGCGATGTTACAATAGAAAAGAGAGATGTCTCACAACGATATTCGAGAGCTTCGACACTAATCAATCCCAATTCTGACGCTAACAAAAACCTTATTTCTAATCAAGTAAGTGAACTATGAAAGCGTGTACAAAAGCTCATATTTCTTCGTTTCCAGTTAACATCGACGTATGGCGCCAACTGTGTGGCTGTTAATGCAAACCTGCAACATAAACGCAAAAAACGGTATTTTTCTTTGTTTGCTCACCTATTAAACTGAAAATGGTGACGCTTCTTGTTATAGTGCATCGTCGAATACCAAGCAGTGTAAAGAACAGTTGATTGTCACATGCTATATTACTTATCAGTCCGATTGTGCAAAATCGACATGCCAAATAACTTACGATCATAAAATTCAAAATTCAATTGGAAATACAACAAATGTATCATTATCATTGGTAGATACAAATAATAAACCGGTAGTGGTTCCTGCCACATTTGTATCTGTAACCAATATAAGTAAGTTTCAACTGTTCTTATGTATGAGACCTTTACTTCTTCGATCTGTCTTTCAGCACCAGTATCATCCACGCCCATAACCTCGACACGTGAGTACTTTCTCGTCTTTTTCTAATAGATGAAAGGAGGAGTCCGCATAAGACTGGAAATCGGTATATTTTTTGTCTAAAAATGATTCTGTGAGCAGTAGAAAAGTATTATCAGTTGTTTTAACTCATTTCACGTAGGTTTGACAACTAAAATCCGAGTAATTCTTCGTCAATAGTGTGCCAATAGTTCACTCCTCAAAGAGCAGCTATAGGTTACATAAAAGGTGTTTTTCTCACGTTTCTTTTGCATGAGCGACAAAGTAAATATATCACCGGATAGTCCCGAAAATTCTCTACAGAATATATGGTACATAACAGTTAATCACAATGTTTTGATAGCAGTAAGGCGCTTAGAATAGTCTTACGTATACAACATAGTAGAGAGTCCTCGCTGTTATAGGCCTTTTCCTTACCAAATAAGAAAACATACGTGTTTATTACAGACCATTTTGAAGCTCATGAAAATTTTGCGAACCATTCTGCCCAATAAAGCAAAGAATGTTGGGAAAAGTAAGATATCTCCCGGCTGTCCGTCCACAAACCTTTTTTACTAGAATATTTTGGTAATTTTGACCCCCGTTGTACCCGTTCGTAAATCGACTGCACTTGGATGAAAAAGCGTTATGGACAGCCGGGAGATATCCTATCTTCCTCAGAATTCTTTGCTCTATTAGACAAAATGGTTCGCAAAATTCTCTGATCAAAAACCAAAGACTTGGTTTTCCAGAAACCTTATTATCAAGTTTTCTGATAAAATGGCGATATGCACCTCATCTGGTAGAAAAATCGTCGAGCTATTCAAAATAGTATTCAGATTCGAAGAGAATTAATTCACTAGATTAAACGTTTTTGAAATATCGATTCAACACGCCACATAACGCGACATAACGTCCGAATATAAAAATTTCAGAAATATCCAATTTAATGATTTCAGTCGCTTCGAACCTGAAAATAAACATCACCACTCGACTTAGCATGGCCGATTATTTATATTTCGAGGTTTTTTGGAGTGATCCAAGATCAGTTGGCTGAAATCGGGGATCTCAGGCAAATGCTTATAGTTCCTGAACAGCACAAGCTAAAGAGCTGGACCTTGTTTATATCAATAGAGAACAATTTTCTCTATCGAATGGTTATATTAGAATTTCAAATCCAATAGGAAATCTTTTCTCTAGGCACTGTCCAATATGTCAAGCGAAAACTCACCTGATTGGTCAGTTGTTGACCAATCAGCTTTCGACATTTCTATATAAAAAAATATTATTCTCTTTCGAATGTTGAAAACTGCCGGTCTCTAGCTGCTTCCTATCCGGAGTTATTCAACTTACAACCGACTGCATTGTTCACTGAAATGGATAGTTGTTAATATATGTTGTATATATGAAGGGAGAAAATAAAACGATAACGGACTGAAAAGAACGAAATAAAAAAGTTAAAATGAATTTGAAAACATCTGCTGTTACTTTCACATTTATATTGATTCTAGACTGATATTCGTTTCAGTTCATAGCTCCTTATTGACACTTTCTATTGGAAGTGGCAATAGCATCTTGGGTACTTCCGCACATGTCCGCCCAGTATTACATTAGCTAAAGCCGGAAAGGTTTGACTATTTGCAAACCAGGTGGTTTTCTTGTGACGGAACTGATGTGTAGTTTTCGAGGGAGGAGGCCATGAAGAGCCAAAGTAGGTTTCCCGGGTTCACTCACGATGAAGAAATAAAAAGTGCTAGAGACTTCATTGTTGCGTCAAACGAACAAACTTGGAAGCCGCTCATTTGAATATAAATAAAGTTAGGTTTTGTTAGGTTTTGAGCTCGTCCAACACGCCATAAAACCAATGGTATCTGCTAATGCAGATAAGGTCCTCCAGTCAAAAATTCTTTCCTAGTGTCAGAAGAGAAAATCTTATTTGCGGATTAAAATATGCAACTTTGTATGCTCTTTCCAGCCAGTAGTATGAGAACGCTTGATACTATTAGATAAAGTCAAGTTTCGCTACTCGGGCACCCCTAAAAATGCTTCACTTCAGAACTTATGGCCGCGGAAAAACCATATTCGGAATAATTTTTCAATGAGGCGGCAGGGGTCTTTACACACCTTTAGTAGGACTATGGATTGCAAATAGTCAAACCCTCTCGGCTTTAAGTTGTGTATAAAGTGGACTGACCTGTGCGGAAGTACTCTCAACAGGAAGTACTCAGCGGAAGTACTCTCAGTAAGTGGCGCGTATACTCTCAGTGGCTTTTCTTTCGGGAGAGACGCGTCTGAATCTGCGTTTTGTTGTATTCAAACGCATGCCTCCCGAAAGAAAAGGTTACCGGGCTGTTTTAGGTCTGTTAAGTTGGGTTGTGTGCTTAAGTGAAACGATGAATTTTGTTATCAAGAACAAGCTAGTTCGAAAGTTACTCAAATTAATCAACTCACATATTCTGTCAGGAAAGTCATTTAATGATTTCGTTTTCATTTTTAGCTGTTGTAATCCCAGTCGTGAAAAAATGTGGAGCCGCTCAGTGTGGTAGTTTTGTACCGTGTTCATCCAATTCCAAGTGTTCATGTTTTGCACTGTATAATAGTACAGGTGGATGGTGTGCTGATGGTACACATCCTTGCTCTGAATTAACACAATGCGGTGTTAACGGACTTTGTCCAGCAGATAGTTCATGTATAGTCAACAGCTGCTGTAACATTCCAGTCTGTTATCCGTCAAAATATGCGGGTGATAATGTGTGTCCGCTGTTATAACGGTTGTCACTATTATAATTTTTCTTGCATAACGTTTCATAAACAGACAATTATACATTATTCGTCGGCGTTTTGACAACAAGTGAACACTAGTATCTTATTTCACTCATGTTAAGCAGGCTGGTGGTCTCTGAATGTATTTCCAGCTTTCAGTCATAGAGAAACTCTTTCTAAATTCTTGACTAATCAAAGACCTGTACTTGGTTTCGTGTTTAGGCTTCTCCAAGGCTGCTGAACTTTGGCCTATTTTTGCGCACAAGTTTTTTTCAACAAACTTAACAGTTGAAACAAAACTTTTTAGTCATTAAATCGGATGTTAATCAGAGTATATTTGACACTATTTAAATCTCAGAAAAGCTCACTTGCATTTTTTTCTCCTGATGTCCATATGATTGCCCACTGTGGGGCAATGTAAGTACTGGTACTGTAATTCATGAAAGCCTGCCACTCGTGCATCCATTAGAATACTTGGTAAAACAGTATTCTTCTCCTTTTTGTTGTAAAAAAGGAAGAAAAAAAAATTAAAACGAGTTGCTTAATGTTAGAGAACATGCAGATAAAAGTCATCCGCTGATGTGCGGGTGAAAATAAGTATTTTTTACATTATGATAACCGGACGACTTATGATGTACAGTATTTTGGTTATTCATCTGGTTTATAAGTTTCAGAATGATAAAGTTTTGAAAGGCCATGTGTTACCGAAGTCCAATTCAGTTGGCTATTCAATATTTCTTGTTACTTTACGTTCATGCAGATTTTTCTAAAAAAATAATTATCAATTTCTCATTAGTTAGCATGACCTTACGAGGTTTCGTAATCAGAACTGATAATCTTCAAAAATACGAGCTCGACCAAAATAGAACGTTTCTTTTCAACAAACATTGTTGTGGCAAAAAAATAAGTCTGATACATATTGATGTGTCAATTATTTTCATCATTTGGATATGGTACTCTAATTATTGTTGTTCACGAAATACCGTGAATATTGTTTAGTCATTCTATAGGAAATAAATCTTATACAATTCAAATATTTTTGAATATTTTTGAAGAAAAAAAATATTATGTTTGTTCATTTGTCCGGAGCAAGCATTCAAAATAACGAAGTAAATAAAGTGCTTCAAAGAAAATGCTTTTTATTTACTGTATTTAAATTTTACTTGAAAAGAAATGACATGGGCTGAAGGCATTAAATGAATAATTCAAGACTAAACAACGAATAGTTAGACAATGCGTGAATTTTCAACTAAATAGAAAAAAAAAATAACTGTTGATATCAGGATATTTGAGTGATGTATTGAAGCATGTTAATAGTATCCTACCCCTCGTTTTAGAAAAATTTCTCAGAATTAAGTTAAGCCAGCGAAAATATACCGCAAAATGTCCCTTTCAAAATGAGACATCTCCAAAGTTCTCACAATGTTGACTTGCTGAGATTAAGCGTTTTGATAGCCCTAGCATGACGTTTATACTAAAAGGTCTCTAGTTCAAACCTTGATTCAACCTCATTATACATGGACTTTCCTAAAACGTTCATTTTTTGACGACGATGGCAGGTGACGCCAGAGCGGGCAAATCAAGTAAAAAAATGCCTCAAGTTCAAGTAAATCAGACTTGACTTGGGAAAAGATTTTTCCGGTCTTTGAGCTGATTTCTAATTTTGACTATCTCTTTGAAGTCATTTTAAGAGTGCATTTTTCCGAATTTTTAATACAAAGAAATTATTTTAGAGATCTAAGCATTTTCCTTGATTTTTGTAAGATGACTCCGATGACTTATGAAGAGTACATAATATTCAACCTCGATGAACTATGAGAATGAACTAAAAAGAAAGGAATGAGGACGATTTCCTGACGTGAGACTTGACCTGACTTCAGAAAAATATTTTGGATCATCTGACTTGAGACTTGAAAAAGTCCCTACTTGCTCAGCTCTGGGTGACGCCAGTTTGTTGCTAGCATAAGAAATAACGAGAAGTAGCAACTGGAAATGAGAGAAAATGTGAAGACAAACTTTACCTCGCCAGTTTACAGCAACTTCCCACAATCGCCTCTGACCAGTCGATGATCAGACAGCCAACCTTTGTGCTCAATTTCGAACAATAACTCTAGTATCATGAAGTTCAGTATGCCTGCTACGATGAACGCCTCACCCGCACCTCACCCTCTTAATGCATCACTATGTAACTTGGTGCAGGGGCATCAGCTCCAAAGCAATTAGGAAATACAGCAGCTTTTCAACGATGATTTGACACACTCAGTGGATGACTTCGCAGTTTCGCGAAAGTCTTATCCGATCTTTATTACTTGGCATGCCATTCGAGAAGCTACAGTCGGGTCCGAGACAAACATCAACAGCTCAAACGAGACGCAAACTTGCTGATCACAAACTCAAAGAAAAAGAAGGATATGCTCGCGATGTCCGACGACGCTGTGCTGGCTGTTATAAGAAAATTAGAAAACAAGAATCAAGAGAAGCAAGTGCGATGGCAGTAAGAAAAATAAAAACTTTCTGTTCTGATTGCGACAAATTCTTTTGTCTGGATTGCTTTAATGAAAAGCATCACTCTACATAATAAAATAATTAAAGCATTCGCGAACAGGGAACCAGTAAAGAAGTGACTGTCTCTCTTTACTTAGGGAAGAGAAACAAAGAAAATGGTTCTTTTATCGTTTTTCTCGTTAGAACATACCGTGAGTCACCGGTGGCTCACATCGTGCTGGATGTGTTAACGTAGCGAGTTTCTTACTGATAGAAGAAAACTAGCATAAAAAACTCTTATCGATTTTAAACAGCTAAACTTCCAGTAGAAGAATGGGCAGTGCGGTGGCTAAGGGAGGGGTGTACGTCCCTCCTGCTTTTCAGGATAATCTTTCTCTTTAACAATCTATTTTCTCCCAAACTATTTTTCTATTCTTCCTTTGTGGAAAATTGAGAAATTAAAAAATCTATAACTTTGTCTGGGAATAGAATAGTAGAAGGCTGAAAACTTTTTCCGCGGTAGACTTACACGTCTAGATAATACACAGAAAGTTTAAACCTTATAGCTCTTTCCATTTCTGAAACACAATTTTCTATTTCTAGGAAAAATCGTAGTTTTTTACAATTAGTAGTAGGTTGACAGCTATGACATAGCTGTAAATTAATACAGTGAAGGTCTATAGTATATCAATGAATTCATAGTATCGCCTTATCATACCAATACCACACATACATAACCGGTATCCCATAAAGAATGACCCTCTTAATATTTTCTCAATACCTTTTTGGATTTTTATCCTTTCTGACTGAATTTTGTTTTAAAAGATTCAGTTTTCAATTCTCTACAAAACTATCTGGTTTTATTAAGGTAAATAACCGAAATCATTTGTTGACAAACGATTTGTCCAACTGTTACAACTTTCAAATACAACTTCTTCTCGAATGTTTTTTACTGCACGTTTTAGTTCTTGAATTAGGGTTGCTTTTGATTTTACTTTGTCCCAATTGATAACGTTAACAAATTCATCCCAAATGGAATAGTCCAAAGGGTTCAAATCCGGACTATTTGGGGGCCAATGATCCTTATCTATAAACGCAGGAAAATTGTCTTTGCACCATTGTTGAGTTAAATCGTGTGTGTGGCCTTGCTCCATCTTGTTGAAATATCCAATCATCGCCAAACACGTGATTTCCGTATTTAAGAGCCACGGGCAGCACTTCTTGAATATAACGAGCATGCTTTACCGTGCCTTTGTCCAAAATTACCAATGGTGTTACACCTTTCGAACGCACTCCTAACCAAACCATTACTTTTTGTGGAAACTGTCGCTTCTGTTTTGTACCATCCTT